CATACCAACTGAACTTTGTAGTTCTTTTTTTTTTGTTAAAACTAAAAAATTTTCTTAAGAATTTTTAATTAGATTTTATTCAATTTATTTTTATTTTTTTTTGGTTTTAAAGATCTATAAACCAATTTTTCTTCACATTATTTTAACATAATTTTAGAGGTTATGAAGTTAGTTTAATTGATGGAATATTCATTCTTTTTAATTCTCTTTTTTTTTTTTGAAAAAATCTGTTGTTCTAAAAAACAAATTTTCTCTCCTTAATTTCTTGTTTTTTTTTTTTTTTTGATATTATTAAAAAGATAATAAATAAGTCTTTACGATTAAAATTTTAGTTAGTTTTTATTCTCATTATTTTTTCTTTCAATCTCTTCTTTTAATTCATCAAGGAATGTATTAGATCTTTGAATGTGAAGTAATGAATATTGACTTAATAATTGATGAATTTGTTTTATTGTTTTTAATTCATTTTTTAATTGAATATTTTCTGTTTCTAAAAGTGCACATTTATTGACCATTCCACAATACTCTTCATACATACTTTCAAGGATATTTGTTAATTCGTTTTCTCGGTGTTCTTTTCTAAGTTCTTTAATCCATGGAATTTCTTCATATTTCTTTAATTGAACTTCTAGCAATTCAACGTATGTTTGTTGTTTTTCACTACTAACAGAAGATCTAAAACTATTTGATGTTTTTAATGAGTTACTTGGAGCAGGTAATATATTTCTTTGTTGTGTACTAAGTAAAGGTTGATAACTTGTATCAACAAAATCATATTCTATTGTCTTTTCTTGAGAATGAGATTGATAATTTTGGTGTTTTTCATAAGAACGTGGTAACTGAGGTGTTTTAGTTTTTATAGTAGTTGAAGAGGTATCACTTTGTGTTGGTGTACTTTCATTGATTAGTTGTGTTTGTTTACTTTTTTTTGACTGAGGCAATAAAAGTCCTGACTTAGAATAACTACTTGATGATGAACCAAAACCAAGAACAAAAGGCTCATAACTTGATGGTGAGCTCATTTATTGAGAAATAAAACTACATCAAAAAGAAGTTACAGAACTTTAAATGACTAGAAATCGATAATGCTATCTATTCTATATATAAGGTTGTGAGGCTTATTATGTCATATAGAATATACAACAGAAATTAAAACAAAAACTTAAAAATATATTTGATAAACAAGAATGATGAAATGGTATTTTTTGATGGTTATACTTTCCATTTGTTCAGCTTTTTCTTATCTTGATGATGAATATTTATATGATAAGGACAGAATAACTGAAATGGAATTTAGTGGGAAACAATATGATGGTATAAATTTCGTTACAACACTAACAAAAAACCCACATTGTTTTCAGTTATTAGAAAAAACGAAAATCCCTTATGAAGAAGATGATACTATTGTTTTTAATGTCTCTCAAATCCATCCTTTATCAGCATTAGTTACATTATCAAATCTAATCTTTGCCCAAAACGAAAGTCCTTATTTCTTAGTCCCTTTTCTTTATCCTTCTCAAATGATGGTTCTTCAAAACTATTTCAATATTTCATTTATGACTCTTCAATCTGGAATTATTCAAACATATGCCAAAGTTAATCAAACTTCTGTAATTATAATAGAAAGTAGTATGATAACTACAGTATCAGTTTATGAATGGAAAGATGGATTATTTTTAGAGACTGAACGAAAAGTATTTAATAAAGGTAGAATAGATAGACAAATTCAACTAGGAAAACTTATTACACGACAAGATTCATCTCCAACAGAAGTTTTTAAGTGTGGTAAAAAATTAGATGAAATTCTTGCAAATAAAGAAGATTTTAGTGAGAAAAATAAAATTCCATTTTGTTTAGTTACATCCCACAAAAATATTATATCTACTCTTGAAGAGTTTTATACTGAAATTATTCAATACCTTAAAAATATTCTTCCACTCAAAAAAGGACAATTGTTATATTCAAGTTTTTTAATAGGATATTTCGAGGATGTGATTAGAAAAAGTCCAGACTTTAAAGATTGGAGTGTAATTACTGTTGATGTTCATAATGTATTAAAAAACAAAAAACTTGATAAGTACACAATTACTACTAGAAGGCATGATCATTATACATTATTTAATCCTTATATACAAAAGTCTATCCCTATTTTGACAGATAAACTTAATCAAACTCTTTATGTTAATATCACTCTACCTTCAAATACAACTCGTTTATGTGAATTACGTGGAACACTTGACTTTTCTCTTCCAGAAGAAGTTATTGGGACTATTTATTTAGAAAGAGAACCAAATAAATACCAAGCTCAGATAACAGGAAGTTTTGAGATAACTATAAGTAAGTCTAAACCAGAAATAACTAAACAATCTATTTTTTATGAGGAGTATCAATGTCATACTTTACAAGGAGAGGAAAATTGTACAACATCATTAATTGAAGTTCCAATAAAATTAGTTCTACGAAAGGATATTGACTTAGCCATTCAAAATAAAAACTCTTTCATAATGGAATCAAAACAATTAATATCCAAATTACAAATAGCTACTTTGCAATTTAAGTCATTAAATTATCTTCAAGATGGAATTGAATGGATGAGAAGGATTGGTCTTAGTGAAGAGTCACTTATTCTTTCAAAATTTATTTCTAAATCTTCAAGTAGTTATGAACTTATTGAAATAGCTGATTTAGTCTATGATTATGTAATGGAAAATAGTCATGAAATGGAATAAAGACTAAAATCATTGATTTAATTATAGTTGAAATAAAAACGTTCACGTTTTGTGGTTTTTTCGCTACGAATGTCAATTTGTGATAGAGACTTAATCATTTGAATTAAACCTTCAAATTCTTTAATATGATAATTTTCTATTCTTCCAGTTTTGAGTTCAAAAGTAATTTGGACTATTGAGTTTTCAGTAACAACAATAAATATATAATTTGACTCATTCCCATTATTTACTTCACACACAGAAATAGTTTGACTTGTTGGTGAAGAAAAACAACAAATTGACTGCTCATCTATATAAGTACCTAAGGTTAAAGCAGACCCAGGTAATGGAATAAATCGAATAGACTTAGAAGATACAAATATAACTATTTTTGAATCATGAGAAAATGAGAGTTGTTGTACTTGAGATTGAGACTGTCCTCGATAGTAAGTACCAAATGGAATTAACTCTGATTTTTCTATTTGATATATAAAACAATATGTTCCAGTAATATCCACAGCTGCTAAATACTTTGCTGAATTATCAATTGAAACTTTTGAAAGTTGTTTTGGCGTAACATTTTGTCTAATAATACATTTATTATCATCCCAAGACTTAATTTCTACACCAGCAAAAGAATTAGACATTAAAAAATATTTTGCTGTTAGCATCCCTAAAGAAGGACGAGGTAGATTTGAGTCATTAATTCTTGTTATAAAATACTTACAATTACATTCAAATAATGACGAGTCATCAATTTGAAATTCCTTACTAAATTCATATCTTTCCTCTTGAATCTTATCCTCTTCTTCCTTAAGTCTAGTTCTTTCATTTATTGAGTCCCAAGTTTGGTAGTATTTTCTTATCTGTTTGTCAAGAATTAACACCAATTCTCTTGTTTTATCAGTATCAAAGCATCTAATCTGTGAAGGTTTAACTGTTCCAACATCAATTTTTTCAACTAATGGTGTAGTAGGATCTTGATTTGAAGCAGTAATTCTATAAGCGATGTTATTTGCTGTTAATACAGTAATAGTAAATGGAAGCCTTTCGCTTAAATAAACATCAATAACATTTCCTTTATAATTCCAAGCTCTTAAACATTCGGTCAATTTTTCATTTTCATATTTCAAAACATGTAAAAATGTAGTTTCTCCTTCTGTCATCCATATAATAATTCCTGATTTTCTAATTGATAAGAATAAACTTAAAGATAGAAAAAATTAACAAACTGACTTTCTCCTGGTAATTTCACACTTTTTGCTTTAGTTTTAATGTGAACATTATTTTGTGAAATAAAGTTAGTATCTAAATCTTTAGCCTCAACCTCAATAATATTTCGTTTAGACATAACAACTTATTTTTTTTTTCAGTTACTTTTTATTAGTTTTTTGTTCTTTGTTCAATATAACACTATAAACATCATTAATTTAAAATAATAATAAAAATTAGTTAATTAAGTGTTAA